GTAATTGGGTCACAGCTATAGCTATTCCTACTGATATCACATTCATTTAATAAATACCAGTTTCTGCCTTGTAATTGACAATCACATCGACATAAGAATTATCATTATATTATTATCGACTTGGAAACTTCTCCGGCAGTAAAACAGTGTTACTAAACAAATTTAGTCTTCTATCTATTCTTCTACCATCTATGCAGTCCATTCTGTACACACCCACGGAGTCTTGAGAAGAGGTCTAATTTAATTATCCAAATTATATTATGGGTGCAACAATGGGTGTTAACGGTCTTTAAAATCATGAGTTTACGAGATTTCATAACATCACCAGTGGTCTTGAAGGAACGTCTGGGATTGTGAGGCACTATTTTGATGGTCAGGAATTCCAGTTTCAGCAGACCTTCGTAAGCCAGTGTCTGTCAGAGATATTTAAAGCCTGTGTGTTCAACCCATGCAGGTGTTTTCAGTTGTCTGACATTTTCTCAGGGCTCTGTAGGTTTGTACAGACACCTTCCGTGTGGTTGATTAACTCCCTCACTCTCGGTAGTGCTGTTGTACTTGTTCAGGCGGGACAACTTTATGATTCTGTTAGGTGTACAGACTCACTGTCTTTGCTGAATGATTGTACTTATCGACCTGAACAGATGCCTGATTAGCCAGAATAACTGAACACACCTGTGTGGGTGTGTGTAGGACCTTTCACTAATTAAATGTATTTATAGTGAGGTGTCACAAACACCTCAGTTGCACTTTGTTGCAACCTAAGTGTGATTTAATGGGAGTTGTAGGCACCATCAAAAGGCATTTAATAACACACAGCAAGACTATATGGGATCATAAATCGTCCATCTAGTTGTACCAGGTCTGCCCTTGCAGTCAAAGCAGGCTATTGTAATATTTTGTATGCATGTGTGTTTTTACAGTTCAGTGTTTCTGGTTGTTGGCCTGAGTAGCAGACAGAGAGAAGAGCGGTGTTACAAGGTGTCTCGCCCTTGTGAGAAAGTGTGCCCCTGTAATAATAATCCTATTTTAATCTGCCTCCAGAGGTTATGTGTCCTGGATTATCAAATATGAAGAATGCTGCTAGGGAGGGAAGCTGAGACACATTGAATCAGTGGCAGTTTAAAGAGACATAACCCTGCAAAACCATGTTAGAAACTATGTTGTTATTAGATTCCCAACCTTGAAGAAGAAGAGTTTCTTTATAGTATTATATGAAAGAATAAAATCTACTTTTTTATATTGTTGCTGACGTGAAGAGTGAAGAGATTTCTCACAAGCTCTTTTTGTTAAAGCGTGGGTTGAATTACATTTTATTTTAATTTACTTTTGATGATACAATGTGGGATGAAGTTATGGTGACATTTTTTTCCAAAGCCACATAGTGATAAAGTAATAAAAAAAAAACATTATGGTTTTGTTCAACATTTTTTAAAGGGTCAGTTCACCAGAATGACACAAACTTAAACAAGGGGCTGTTTTCCAGGGGTGGCAGCATGCAAAAACCCCTGGTATCAAATCCTGTCAAATTGAACACATTAATTTAAAAAGTAATGTGTTAAAAATGTAATTTTAATGATCTGCTATGGACACATTTTAGACTAAATAATAGGGTTAAGGGTTGGTTCAATTAAAAAATACATGTATTTGGATAAATGTCTAAAGATTTGGAAATAAAACAATTTATTGATTTCTAAGGCCATTTTTAGATATTTCTTTTCAATGCTTTACTAATGTGCCACAATGATGTAATGTTTTTCACTTAAGATATCTTCATCATTCATTTTGTGGCTTTTTTAGTCTCCATAGCACCCTCTTAACATCTCATGAATTTCTTTTTTAGATCCACCCGAGACTTAAACCGATATCTTGCCATGCAGATGGTTTTGATTTGATTTGTTGAGGCTTTGAGTTATTCACCTCTGAGGTGTCGGATGTTACCAATACAGTGGAGGTGAACAGAATTTTGCTTGATATAAATTTTATTTGAAAAAAAACATCAAAGTGCAGTTTGTGTGGCTTGACCTTTGAATATTTATATGTTTATGCCAGCATATGCTGAGGTGTGCCAGATAAATAAAACCATGCAAAACAAGCCCATGAGCATTTTCATAAACTTTATTTTTCAAAATAAAACCCTTAATTTAAAAGGATACTATATCTAATTTTATTTGGCATCAGTTTCAAAAGCACAACTCTCTTGTTAAACAGCTGAAATTTAGCTGAAACAGCCCTTTAAAAAGGAAGGAATGAGAAATCAAGTGTTAATATCCTCGCCATGGAAACAGGATAGGCTACTTATTTACCTAGTCCCAAACACACGTAGGCATTCACACACACACACACACACACACACACACACACATACATCCCAGCTGATGAACCTCTGACACAACGCCTCCATATCACTGTTATTGTGATTCTGTACCAATGGGCAGGTCAGTGGGTCTTCCTGAAAGAGACAGTGGGAGGAAGAGAACTACAGTGGCCTGTGAGGTTCAGTCAATTTTCTCTCTCTCTCACTGCATTGTCAGAGAAGCAGCAGGCTACGACCAAAAGGTCGCAGGTTCAGTCCCACTCGTACTTTAGGTCAGCGTGTCACCGAGTGAAGCCACCGAATGCGCCTCCGCTCTGAATGAACCAGAGTGATTAAAATGACCTTTTGTTTTCTTCAGTTCGTAATTTTTCACAAAAAAGGTTTCATTCCTCCAGAGGAGAGGCTGGTAAATTACAAACATTACCTTGAAAATGTCAAACCTTATTAAGTCAGCTGACACACCTGTAATTGAGGTTGTTTTCAGTTCACATGCAAATACAACATTTTCTCTGACAATGGAGAACACGCTCATGTTCACTAACCTCAATGTTTTGTGAAGCTGCAGAGCATTTATGACCTACATGAGGTCCAGTTGTCTCTGTGATTGATGTTCATAATCAATTATGTCCTCCATGTCCATCAGAAAATATAAATAAACTCATCGGGTGCAAACTGTCACTCTCTATTTATGTTATTTTCCCTTTACGGGTCCCTGTAGTGCTGATGAGCCGGGATGACATCGCCAAAACTGTGAAAACAGTGAATGAGTTTCTTGTCAGTTCATAGACCTTGATGCTTACGCTTCTTAGTTTAGCTTCTTTGTAAGACGACAGTTTAACCGGCTGTGAAAGTGACCTTTGTTGTATTACAACAAAACGGTGCCTCCTAATACCTGTTCCTCATTGGCATATTTATAATAATAATAATAAATGCTTTATTTTTGGAAAGGGACAGTGCACATTAATGAACATCGATATTTAAACATCTCTGTAAACATGCTGGATTATAGCAAAACTGCAAATTTGCGTCCGTAGTCCCTAAAATTTTATGTTAAAGGCTTTATTTCACCTTTATTTATCTGGGGGAGTTTAACTTTTTTCAGGAACACACTGATCTCATCACACCTGGAAGCTGCCCAGTGGAACCACAGTCTGATCTGCTGGCCACTGAGCAGCTTCACTGGTGCAGTTGGGGGTTAAGGGTCTTGGGGGCACGTCAATGGTGGTAAAGAGTGAGGTGTAAGCGCTTGCTGTTTTTTAAAATCTTGCCGGGTTTGGGGTTATTGAACAAAAGACCTTACAGTCACAAGCTCGCTTTTCTAACCAGCACCACTGCTTGATTACCTGAGGCAGCATTTCGGAGTATGGGAAGGGAAATAAAGATGCTAAACCATTCAGAGGCTTGTAAACAAATACCAAAAAAGGCAAAGAGCTATTGGAAAGACGTTACTGACATATTCATAGGTTACTTTTCTTGGTTAACACTAAGATGATCTTGATGATTTTTTGGGTCATCCAGTTAAAAGAGTCAATACAAGAGAAAATGAAAGCATGACACTTGGAGGTGAAAATAAAGTGGCCAAAGCTGATGAAATGAAATGAAAATCACTTCTGTTGCAAGGCCACCTTGTCTTCCTCAATCAGGCTGATTATACAAATGTATTTTTCCATTAAAACCTGACTGCAGCTTCAGCTTGTGAAGACATCTTTATCCCATCAGGGCAGTTAGCTGAGCACAAAGCACAAGGCTACATGAAACAGACGACATCTTCCTTTCATATCCAGAGTTTACACTATATTCCTCAGTGCAGGTGCAGCTCCATGTTAGCTGGATAAAAATATCTGAATATGTGCTTTGTGTTTGTTTATGTGAGCTGATCTGCACATGATAATGAGTGCATGTGTGTGTGTGTGTGTGTGTGTCATGGCGGGCATGTGGTGTTATGCATTCTCGCGGCGTAGCATCCACAAGCGTTGGTTGAATCTGATTAGCTTTAACAACAAAACCGACGAGCAGCATATTCCTCAGCTCATTCCTTCCCTCGTGCCAAGGCGGTGACGAGGACCAGATTCCTCGGGCCCGACGCTGAAATTAGATCAGACCAATCTGGAGAGAGTGTTTAGAGGCTCGCGCAAATGGACGCGCAGAGAAAGGGGAGAGATAACGCCGACAGGGAATCATCTGATTATGGAAATAATTAGTTGTCATGGATATCAGTCATCGTTTGATGTGATTGGGTGGATTTATGCAGCTTCAGGAAGCCTTGGATGGTCGGTTGAGAGGGAGCGGGGTGGGGGGAAGGCGGATAGAGAGACAAATTATTCTTCTTTGGCGTAGTGATGCGGCACCGACTCGCATCTGTTCTGTCAAACTGTGATTACCGGCAAACACTTTGCTTCCACTTCACAGTTTACACTCATTCCAACAAGATGATCCCTGTGTTGGATGAGATTTTTTTCTTGCATTTTTCCTAACCCTAACAACATTTGTAAGAATGCTGAAAATTGTCTTTAATGCAGGAAAAAAATATAGAAACAAGGCAAGCATGAGGGCAAAGGTTCAAACAGATTAATAACGTATACTGTAGCTTGTTGTAATATTTTTCTTTTTCAGCTTTATTTGAAGTAAAAACAACATACACTGCAGTAGCTCTCTCTGACTTCCTGTTTCCTGTTTCCTGCTGCAGAGGAAGGCGAGTACTTCCTGAAGGTTTTGATTCCCAGCTATGCGGCGGGTTCGATCATCGGGAAGGGAGGTCAGACCATCGTCCAGCTGCAGAAAGAGACTGGAGCCACCATCAAACTGTCCAAATCCAAAGACTTCTACCCCGGTAAGACACCGCTGCCTCGGATGGATGTATGACTGATGGGGGTTCGGAATGTACAGGAAAACTTCCACCTTAAATACTTTCACACTGTTTATTTAGTGTTTTTATTTAGGCATCCTTAAAAAATAAACAATGACTACTACCAATAACAGCATTTACAAGATGCAGACCAAAACACAGAAGCACAAAATATTGCTCAATACAAGTATAATACAGTACACATTTTGGCCAGTTACACACAAAAATAACAAAATATGTTATCAATTATCAAAATACCTTCACAAGAAATGCAAAATGCATCACAAATACCTTTTTTAACAGTGTTGAAGTGTTATAAGGTGGAGGTTTTCTTCATCAGAAGGACAATAAAGACACATTTGAAGAGTGATAAACGGATGGATGGAATGGGGTCATGGGTGGATGGATGAGAAATCATAAAAACAGCCAATGAACAGTGGTTTGGATTTGTAGATGGATGAATGGATGGAGAGAGAACATTTATCGATCCATTTATCCATCTATCCTCTGAAAGGAAGTGAAGGACGGAGTGTGTCAGGATGAGTAGATGGAGAAGTGTTTTGACCCATTAAGTGAACATTTCATTATCTCCGTCTTCATCAATTAGTTTTTTTTAAATAATATTAAAACACACATACATACACACACACACACACACACACACACACACACACACACATACACAGTAATAAGCTGTCTGAGTTTTATTGCTGAGTGGCGTCTGGGTGAGTTTCCTTCAGACCAGAACCGCTGACCTTCTGCTTGTTGTTATGCAATGACGTTGACAATTAGAGCCTCATTTGATCGCTGTGTGATAGATTTATGGATTTATAAAGGCTACGTTGTCCGTGTGTGTGTGTGTGTGTGTGTGTGTGTGTGTGTGTGTGTGTGTGTGTGTGTGGGTATGTGTATGTGGCACTAGGCTTGTGTTGACTGAGGTTGTGAGTCCTCAGGGACAGAGGGGCCTTGACTGGGCTCACGTTGCACCCCCCCACTAACACACACGCACACACGCACACTCCACCAGAGATCGGGATTACAGGATCAGAGGTGAAATTGTATTTGTCTAAACTCTTAATTCTGCCCTGACGTGACATGTGACTGGTGCAGTGAGGAGGGGGAAGCTGTGATCTGCGTGTGTGTGTCAGTCTGCTCGTACCGTCCTGCTGTGAGTCGAAGGTTCGGGTTGTTTGTTCTAACTGTGGAAGAGACTAAATGGATTGTTGTTTCTAACTGAACACATGTGAAAGTATTGCAAATGCAACCCTGTGTGTTTGAAATACATTTATATACTTTGCTAACTATGTTTTAAAGAAAACATAGTTTGTTTTCCCTGGATGTATTGTTGTGCAATCAAGGGAATCCTTGTGGCTTATGAATCACAGAAGTAGTAGGGACGAGGTTGGGGTGGATTAGGGTTAAAGCCCCTGCTACGGTTAGGGAAAGATGGTGGTTTGGTTAAACACTGAAAAAGCCAACACATCCCATCTTGTGCTTCAAGTCAGTGTTGATTTTTCAATACTTAACCAAGACCACAGTCTTTTCCTAACCTCAACCAAGTGCTTAGAGTTGCCTAAACACAACCTTAAACAACACAAATCATTATTCATGCTTTTGTTGCTAGGAGGGTGTTGTTGTAAATAAATGAAATCCACTGAGAGTGACGGTTTTTGCAGGTTTTTAACCTCACGTTCACGTGTTTGTAAAGACACAAAATCATCCAAACAAATTGCATTTCCAGTACTGAGAAGATAATGTGAAATACAACCTGCGTGTGTCTTTCTGTGGTTTCTCTCCTACTCTGCCTCCACTTTGTACAACCTCAAACCACGTGGAAAAACAATGTTGTGTCCAGATTCAAGTGCCTTCATATGCATCCAGTTCACTTGTGTGTACTCAGCGGCAGGCTGGCAGGTGGCAGAATGATGGTGCTGAAACATATTTATATGACCCATATATTTTACTACAATGCAATTTACTCTGAAATTATATTCCTAACTTCCAGGGTTTCTTAAAGACGCAAAATAACCTCCAGAGGTAAAATTACGATCACATGCTCGTTCTGAAACGAGGCGTCCGCACTCATACTTAACAATCCCACCTCCAGTTAAACTCGCGGCGACTTCCCAGTGTTGTCATAGCGCCTGCGGAGTCTCTGATGTAATCGCTGCCCCCGAGCCAATCACAGCATGAGGTTTCTCCAGCTCTGCTAGAGAGTTGTCGGACACACAGTGTGCCGCTCTTAAATATGTTTCAGAGCTTCAGCCTGGAATTCATGTTGGAAATTCACGTTGGTTTCTGTGTGCAAAGGGACATATGAATAACTCTCTAATGAGAGAGGATTGAATGTGTTTTTACACTCAGATATTTATGACACTGTAGCCCAGAATGTGTTGGTCTGTGTAACATAATTGTGCTGCAGTCTTGGCCAATAGTCTCTAAAGAAATAAAAAATGTAAATAGGAAAAAAATATGTATTTATCAATACCTAGGAACACATTTAAGCTTCTACAGATTAAAATGCACCATTTTTGCAGTCGGAAAATGATCTTTTAGAAAGAGTTCTGGTGCCTCGCTTTAACTTTGAATTGAATGAAACATGCAGCATTTTTGGCTGTCTGAAGCATGAATCTCAGTATGTTGCATTTTGGAAATAAGTCATTCAACATTGTGGATCATTTTCCTGTAAAGCTTCATTTCACTGTTCAGCCCAGTTGCATTTACCCTCTTTTTCCCTCTCCTTTTCAACTGCACCATGGTCTCCAAGTATTTATTTGGTTTGAAATTCAGCTCTCATTCTTGTTGTCCTGGTGAGTGTGCGTTCAAGAGTGTGTGAATGTGTATCAGTTCAGTGTTGGGGTCTGCAAACAAGCCGCCGTTGTTTGACACCGGCACATGAGACTCCTGAAAGCTCTGCCAGCGAGAACAGATGCAAGGTGCAAGAGCCTCCAAGATGCACACACACACACAAACACACACACTCACGCATGCAAACAAACACATGTAAAGGCACTGAAACACGATGATAAATACACTGACAGAAATTCAAACATATACAGTAAAAATCTTGCAAGAGCACATATCCAATCCATAGAAGGTTTGCACCACAAAGGAGGTGCACAAAAATATCCACACACACACACACACACACACACACACACACACACATATTTATATATAAACACACAGACATGCTTTCCAATCTCCTGGGGTTTGTTCACCAAACTGCAAAACTGAAAATAAGTGAAGAAAAAAAAGGGGAGGAAGGGAGACAAGTGAAAGAAAGAAAGAAAAAAGAAAGAAAGAGGGCTGTATAGGCCCCTGTCTGGAGGGGAGGACTGAAGAAGCAGTGTGTGTGTGTGTGTGTGTGTGTGTGTGTGTGTGTGTGTGTGTGTATGCACCCTTCCTAAGCACTGAAGGGGGCATCTGTATGCAAATGAGACACGGTTCTTCCTGGGTGACAAATCAAAAGGCCCACCTGCTGCAAGGGCCCGTCTGTGTGTGTGTGTGTGTGTTGGGAATAACAGGGCCAGTCTAATGAACAGAGTAGAGAGTTACTGCTGTGTCTTGGCCAAAGCGTCTCATTCCTCTCCTCTCGCTCCTCGGAAGACATTAGTCGCCCTCCTTTCCTCCCCCCTCCTCCCCATCTACTCACCCCCCCTCCTACACACACACACACACAGCCATCCCAGCTGTCATGGAAAACCTGGCAGAGGTCATTGAAGTTTTGGGAATTCTATCTCAGTGTCCTTTATCTTCCTGGAAATATTAAATAAGAAAAAGTGTAAACTTCTCGGTGCAGGATCCACGATTGGATCGAATCTTAACACTTCCAACTTCCTCTTTTCAAAATAAAATGTGTCCATAGATTTGTAGTAAGGTATACTTGTCTGGAGACTTCCAAGGGATAGTAGTAATCCAGTTAAAGTGATGTTGAGAATTTTGCCAAAGTCCCACAGAGCAAGAGTTCCATGGAGCCAAAACAAGATGTGATCCAGCGACAAGAAAATCTAATATTTCAACACAAAGAAATGTGAGTCATTTTCCAAAATGAGATCATCATTTTAAAATACTTAAAAAAGCACCTCTGGCTCTTACACACAGATTCGTTATCACAAAACTCCAACAGTGTTTGGCAGCATTTTAAGCACAGAAAGTTGGCAAAATCTCAAGCTGGATTCTGCAGATTAGAACTGTTGAAAGATGAAGTAAAGATAAGACAAAATCCTCTAATTTGGATTTTTTTCAGTAAATATATAATTATTTTTTCCTAAATGAACTCCATAATTGTCCCCCAGGGGGAAATTCAGTCTCTGCAGCAGCAAAGTTAATGTGACAAGAGAGGACGCTGCGTTGGGAAACAAAAGAAAAACACAACATGAGGCTAAAAATAGAGAAATCCAATGAGACAATGAAAATCAGCGTAACAGGATGTAAACAACTGTGAGGTTAAAAGAAGCCTTTCCAACAGATGCAGGGGGATAACATGAACAGGAAGCACATGGCGGAATAACCTTATCCTTACAGGTATTGATTTTAGTTTGATTTATTCATATTTATTGACTGAACAGATTCTACAATCTAAAGAATCAGGATGGAAAACGTGTGAATCAGAGCAGGAAAACACATGACCTTGTCTTACCCTGCTCTCCTTTCCTCAGCCTACATTCCTCCACTCATATATCACACCGTTCTCCCTCCGTCCCTCTTCTCCTCTCTCCCTCCTTCTCTCAGACCCGTCTCCTCTTTTTATGCATGCATCCTTCGATCCAGCCCCATCTCACCCATCAATCCTCCTCTCTCCGTCGCATTATTCCTTCACCTCCTCCCTCCTTTTTGCTTCCTCTCCCTCCTTCCTCTCCCCCTCCTTCCCTGAGTCTCTCCCTCCTTCCCATCTATCTGGAGAATAGTGCAGCAGCAGCACTTAAGCCGACGACCAATTAGCAAGGAGCAGCAGTACGGGGGGACGAGACAGGCCACCATTC